CTATGAAAAATGATTAACGGCAATAATCAAGAATAATAGTTGCACAATTGATTATTGAATCAATCAGGCTAATAATTTTGTCCTATGTTAAATGTTTTTTTGGTGTTTTTTGCATTATTGTTTGACATTAGAATAAAAATGTTGTTGTGGGCATCACTGAACATACTTTCAAATCTATTTTTTCATCATTTGTGAATAAAAGCACATGAAGTTTCCATGAAAATTTGAGATATTACAGCTTTATTTGTAATTATGGAAGGCAGGAGGTGAATAATTCTGTCCACAACAGTATGTGTGTACAAACTCACATGCAGACAGAGAAAAAATTATTTTATTATAATATACATATTAATCATCATCATCTTAGAGAACCTTTTTTGTGTTCCATCACCATAGTCAGTGCTATCCTCCAGGAAAGTCATCTTCTTGGCAGTAGTATAGCTAGAGTGTGTACCACTAAGGGCAGTCCTTGAGTTTGCTGCCAGGACCCCAGAAAAATGCATGTTGCACACTGACTCACTTTGAAAGTTATAAAACTAGTTTGTGTACCATTATAATATTACTTTCACATACTCAAATATACTAGTATGCTTTAAATATACACGTAACTTAAACTTTATCAGTAACAGTTAAAAAACAAAAATGATATATAGGAAAAAAGTGTCAAAAATTAGGACTCTTTATTTCTGAAACAAAAATTACAACTTTCTACAAAGTAACTTTTCTGTTGGCAAATTTGTCAATGGCAGTCAAAAACTATTTAATCTATCAATTGTCACTCTATAGACAGTAGATAGGTCCATATATAGTTTAATTTAATCAAAATCGAAAAAGATCCTTCAAATGTGAGTACTGTCTCGACATTAAAACCAGTTTTCAATACAGCCTATACAGACTTATAGCCTACAGCAGACACAAAAGTGTTGCCTCCATAAATGTGCCACCCGGGGCAGACCCGTCTCTAGCTATACCACTACTTCTCAGTATAATATTTTCTGCTGACATGAACTGGAAATATTATACTGAATCAATTGCTAGGTCTACAGTTAGGAAAGTTGCTTAACTGTGTTGTACTAGATCATTTTTTCTCTCCAGAGTCCATTTTACACATTTATGAGTCGGCCATTTATCCATGGATTGAATATTGCTATCACATCTCGTCTGGTGCTTCTACTATGTATTAAAGATTCTTGATAAAATCAAAAAGAAAAAACTGCTTAGTTATTGGTCCTAACCTGGCATCTTGACATCAATCACTTTTCTTATTACTTTAACATATTTTCCCTGTTCTTTTCAATTATTATTTTCATGGTAATTCTTCTGATGAACTTTCCTCATTGGTACCTTGACTTTAAAAACTTAAGTGCAGTACTAGATTGGCAGCTAGGTCTCATCATATTGCAGATGAAATTGATAGATATAACCATAAGTTATATGCTAGCAGTTTCTTCCCTCATCCTCCTCTTGCTTTCTGCCAACTTTGATCTCCAAAGATGTGAATGCAATGTCAACTGTTCTCTTCTGTCTTTTTAATTCCTTCTATTTTATTGTCCTCCTTCCTTCCTTAATAATGTTTTTCTTTTTCTCATATTCTTTCACTCTCAGTAACCTGCCTTTCACCTTAGTGGCTTTATAACCTTGGGAGGTTATGAGGAGTGTGGAAACACATCTTAATTGATGTTGTTCCCAGGTCCACAATGGCCTGGGTGGTAGCACCTGTTAGGGTCCTAGATATAGGAAAAGAGTGAACCCACAAACTGGGATGAAAAAAAAAAACTGAAAGTATAGATTTAAAAAAATAAATAAATCAGCAGCAATGATTTTTGCAAAAGAAAAAATCAGCAGCAATAGTGAAATGAAAAAATTGCTCAAGTTTATAATGATAAACTACATCTAGCAGCAAGACCTCTGTCTGGGTGGGTGGGTGATTTGGTTTATTTTGTTTTACTGGATATAAACCTCAGTGGATTATTTAATGCTGACAAAATTTTTAGGGTAGGTCTTATGAATAGAATGTGTATTATTTTTCTTTTCAAAAATGTATTGCTGGTAATATTTTTTCAAAAATGTATTGCTGATATTTTTACATAAAAATCTATTTTTATACTTTCAGAGTGTTTTGACTCCAGTTTGGGGGGTTAACTCTTTGCCCACAGTTAACAGGCGGACCTGGGAATGACAGTAATTAAAAGGTGATTCCCCACTCCTCAAAACCTCCTGATCAGAGATCTTGCAGCCAGATGTAGTCTAACATCATACTCAGGATACTCAAGAAGTTTTGAGGAATATCTCTTAATTGCTGTTGTTCCCATGTTCACCTTGACCTGGAATGATAGCACCTGTTTGGTTCCCAACTATGGCCATATAGTTAACCCCTAAACTAGGGTCAAAACATTATGAAAGTATAAAAATACATTTTTATGGTAAAATTACCACACAGTTACCTGTGTGGTAATTTTACCATAAAAATGTCTTTGAATCTGAGAACAAAATCAATCAAGTGGTGGTTCCACATTCCTCAAAACCTCCCAGTCAGAGGACTTGCTGCCAGTTGAAGTTTATCATCATAACCAGGATACCTGATTGGGGGGGGGTAGCCCTCTGCAGTGGTGTAGTAGTCAGGTTTGTGCAATTTAGAAAAGATGGTTAAATTTAATAGACATGCCAGTACACTTCAATGAAACTTGCCTGAAAGAAATATTGCAGCTTTATTACAACAAATTTAAATTCATGTATGACGATGATCGGAGGTGGGGGTAGGGAGTGGAATTCAGGACCCTTAAAATTAATGTCAATTAAATCCTAATTAATAGGATCAGTACCTGTAAAAAAATCAAATTGACTAATTGATTGAGTTTTCTACTGCTTATCAATTTTTTGCAGGTTATTTAAAGCCAGAAAACATTTCTAGATTACAAGAATGTTTTTTTAGATAATAATGATTTAGTGATATAAGTTTTACTAATTAATCTATCGATGTGATGAAAAGAGGATGATCCATAGCATTCCCAAGGGTATTTGCGTATACATGAAGATAACGAACCAAATGGGAATTAGTCTTACAATTCCAAGCCGTTATCCAATCACACATCCAAGCTTATAACACCTGGTATTCCCAAGCGGTCACCCATCTAGGTACTGACCATTGTTGACATTGCTTAACTTCAATGGTCGTACAAAAGCTGGTATTTTAACGGGATATAACCATGAGCCCATTACACCATCCGCACATCCAAGTTTACAGCACCTATTATTCCCAAGCGGTCACCCATCTAGAAACTGACCAGGTACGACGTTGCTTTCGTGATCAGACTAGAACCTGTGGTTTAACATGACGTGGACGTAAGCAGACAAAAAAAATCAAAGTATATGGTTGTGTCTACAAGAAACAAAATGAGGAGAAGGCAAATTTATGAGTTTTCATCTTGGAAATATTAGTTATAAATTTACTAGTCCTGGGTATGACGATAAACTACATCCAGCAGCAAGGGAGATTGGATGTTTTGAGGAGCGTAGAACCACCACTTAAGTGCTGTTGTTTCCACATCTACCCTGACCCGGGGTGGTAGCACGTGTTCGGGCCCCACTTATTGGCAAATAGTGAAACCTCAAACACTATGAAAGTATAAAAATACATGTTTATAGTAAAAAAAATACCAGCAATACATTTTTATATTTAAAAAACTTACCAACGATACCTATTTAAGTAAAATTACCAAAAATACATTTTTAAAGCATAATTATCAACAATAAATGTTATAGCAAAATGACCAACAATACATTTTATCTGTAGCTGAAGCCATAAAACTATGTTCAAAATATTTAGATTCCAGCATTAAATAATTTGTAGTGGGTTCTAATAAAAATTAAAATATAAAAATAAAATATATAAACAAAAATAAAAAGAATTAAAATTAAAATAAGACATTTGCACTTTTCTTTAAAACCCTCACTACTCTCTCTCTCTCTCTCTCTCTCTCTCTCTCTATCTATCTGTCTATCTATCTGTCTATCTATCTAAACTTCTCCCTCTAAACTTCTCTTTCTATACTTCTCTCAATGTACGAGAAAGCAACCCTCAAATAAAAGGAGGAAGAAGAAGAAAAGACTGAACTCGTCCAAAACACCAGAAGTTTGCAGGTTCACAGCCTACTTATTTGTGACTGAAAACTAACAAAAATCAGGGAGGCTCCACGCATTACTTCTGTTATAAAAGAAAATGAAAAAAAAAAGAACGCCGGAAAATAAAATAATTTGGCCAATCAGAAAAGTTGACACTAAGAGACTTTTTGATATTAGCCGAAACAATGTTCGCGCCAAACTTGAGCCTGGTTAAAAGGATATAAACCTGACACCTCGTGGCTACCGGGAGAAAAGACGAGAGCGGAGCGACGGTAGGAGAGGACAGAACAGAAGAACGCTACTACTTAGAAACCAGCAATGCGTGAAGAAATAATTAAGAGGTCATCTATTACTGACATTTCCGCTCTGTTCAGAGCCGAAAAAACACGGTAGATTAACATTGATCTAACTTCTGATATTGCTACTATCCCTATCTTGGTCTGTCTTCAAAACGACCACTAACGGACATTTCTCCAATATGCACCTTAACAAACTTTTTGCGACAATGAATACCAAAGGACTCACTCATCAATTTAAAGAAAATAAATAAAAATATATTATTTATTTTAATCCTTGAGTCAATTCGTTTTATTCCAAAGTTTCCAGTAACGAAAATTCCTACCACATTTGCTAGAAACATCTACTGTCTATAGAATGACAATTGACAGATGAAATAGTTTCTGACTGCCATTGACAAATTTGCCAACAGAAAAGTTACTTTGTAGAAAGTTGTAATTTCGTTTCAAAAATAAAGAGTCCTAATTTTTGACACTTTTTCCCGATATATCATAGAGGTTGCTATGCTGCTAAAGAAAATCAAATAAAAAGTTAGAAATTTACAAGTTGGCGATTGAAATGTTTTATAGAAGTTTACTTACTTGACTTCAATATAACCTGTATTTTCCCCTCGATCAATTGCTTCTTGGTGAATTGCTTTTGCTTTCTCTTTTGTTTTGACGACACCATAAGTAACATTTCCATCGACAGTCCTGAAAGAAAAAAGAATCCAAATCTTATCTTACATCAGATGTGGCTGCAATATAGAGTGGCTTATCCAAATAAATAAACGGTAAATGTCCGTCCGTATACCTGAAGCCCCCTCTAACTCGAACCACACTTGTTCTACATAGACATATTATACCTTTTTAGAATCAGGATGATCCCGGGATTGAAAATCTGTCCTTCATCTGATGCTTGAATATCCTGCATTTGGTTTTGTGTCCAGATGAGAAAGGAACAGTTAAAAATTCAAATTTTAAAATAACTAAAAAAAAATAATGATTTTAAAAGTCTGTAATTTACATTTGTGAATTTAACTCTTTTTTTTTTTTTTAAATTCAGTTTAAAATATCTCCAAAATGTTGTGAATTGAGGAAATCAATTTTACAAGGTAACCAAAAAAGTTCTGTCCGTTTTTAAAGGAAAAAAAAAGAAAACGCTTCACAGTATGTGTAACTTATATTTAGTCTTCGAAGTAATCGCCATCGGCATCCAGCACCTTCTGCCAATGTGTCTCCAGCTGTTCAATGCCCTTGCGGTAGAACTCGGGGCGGGGGTGACGCAAAGAAGTCCGCGAGGGCTTTGCGCAAGTCTGCGTCATTGGTGAAGGATTTCCCACGAAGATGATTATCCAGGGAGTGGAAGAGGTGGTAATCGGATGACGCAAGGTCAGGTGAATAAGGTCGATGGCACAAAGTCTCCCACCCAAGTTGCTGTATAGTATCCCTGACAACTCGCGCGACATGCGGCCTGGCGTTGTCATGGAGGAAAAGCACACCTTTGTGATTCACCACTGCTGGCTCCTTCTGGCGCAATGTCTGTTGCACACGTTTCAATTCCTGCGAGTATAGGTCTCTAGTGACCGTTTGGCCCGTTGGTAGCAGTTCATAATGAACCACTTGACAACCTGTCCACCAGACACAAAGCATAATCTTGCATGGGTGCATAGGCGGTCTTGCGGTGTTAGGGACAGCATCCCGAGGAGACAACCAATGTCTGGAACGCTTGGGAGTTTCGTACAGAACCCACTTTTCATCACTGGTAAGCACTCGATTGAATAAGGATGCGGTATGGTGGCGAGAAAGCAGCGATACGCAGGCTGCTACTTGTTGTCCCTTGTGGACCTCCAACAGCGTTTGCAGAACCCACTTGCTCAGTTTGTACGTCTTACCTAGGCGGTGCAGGTGAAGTCTAACTGTTTCATCGGAAACGTTGAACTGTCTTGCAAGTTCACCACACGTTAGACTACTGTCCTCTTCAATGACCGCCTTCAGGACTCCGTCATTCAAGACCTGTGGTCGTCCACTGCGAGGCTCATCATGGAGAGACAAATCTCCCGACTTGAATTTTCGAAACCAACGCCTTGCAGTACGTTCATCCACAGCACTATCCCCAAACGCTTGACATATGCGGCGACTTGATGCAGCTGCTGATAAGCCCACTTTGAAGTCGTAAAGCAAACAGCCCCGAACGAGATCTCTAGACAATTCCATCCTTCTCACAGGTGTCCGGCTTATAACTGATGGCCGGGCACGGTGCGCGTGTTTTTTTATAACGTCTGATGTTCCTACTTCCGGCTGTCCGAATTTGAAAACAATTGCTACACGCATTTCGTATATATTTCAACTTCATTCAATGACTAATCAAAAAACGGACAGAACTTTTTTGGTTACCTTGTATTTCTTTAAAATGCCAAGGAATCAAAATTAAAGTGAGAGGTTTCGTGATGTGAGATTTTGAGCTTCTGCAGAGATTGTGATTTGAAGAACTCTGCATACACCAATTGTTTTAGGTGACCCCCACAGATAAAAATACAAAGGAATGAGGTCGGGGGAACATGCGGGTCTTGGAACCAGTCCTCCCCTACCTATCCATCTTTCATAGTAGATGTCAGCCAGTGAATCGCGAACAATGTGACTAAAATGTGCTGGAGCTCTATCATGCATGATCCACATGCATTTTTGTATTAGCAGGGGTACATCCTCTAGCAGGTCTGGAAGCGTTTTAGAAATAAATTCGCTCTAGACAGCTCATGTAAGACGTGCGGGGAGAACATATGGACCTAGCAGACAGTCACCTATAATTCCAGCCCACACATTAATCGTAAACTGATGCTAGTGCCTAGCCTTTATTGTACCATGGCGATTCCGATCAGCCCAAAAATGTTGATTGTGTGAATTTGTTATTCCATCTCTTCCAAATGTTGCCTCATCTGTAAACAAAACTGAAAAGACAAACAACGGATCAGCAGTTTGTGTAATAAACCATTGCCAAAAGTTCTCCTGAGGGGAGTGATCAGAGTGTGAAAGACCGTGCACACGTTGCAAATGATACGGATACAGTAGCTGCTCTTGAAGTACCTTCCATGTGGTACTATGATGTATGACATGTTAGGGTCACTTGACGTATGCTGTTACATGGATCGTCCTCGAAAGCCCGTAGAATGTGTGGTTTGTGGTCAAGCATATGGTCTTCCTCGATCCATAGTTTGTGGTGCCACGGATCCTGTCTCAGCAACGCGACGGTAGACAGCAATAAATGTTGGATGACTCAGTTAGAAACACAAGCCGATACAGCCGTGCAGCTTCACGTCCGTTAACAGACGCGCGGCTGTATATAAAAATCATATCTGTCTGTTCATGATATGCATATCCTGCCATTGTTAGACAGAACATTTCTCAATTACCTCACTACTATAGACTTTAAACGTTGAAGACAGACTAGCCAAAATATACACGAATGACAAATGTAACCTAGTCTACATGGCGCCATCTACCGTAAACTTTCTTTAAACTTTATAACTCAAAAACGAAGGATTTGCGGACATGTTTATATGAACTTCTGTCCTTGTTTTAGTGTGAGGAACCTGCCCCAAAGGTTTATAAAAGTATATATACACATATATATCTCTATCTATACAAGGCAGGATGTGTGTGTGTGTATGTGTGTGTAACGAATGTACAGCCGCAATTTTCGACAGATTTGCACCAAAATTTGCCTGCACATGCTCCAAGTTAGCGGTAAGGTCAAGACCGACTTTGCATTTCCCATCTCCCATCAATAGTAGAGTAATCGATTTTTTCATGTTTCTACGGCAGTTTTCATGTAGTTTACGGCCATTTTTTACTGGCTGCCACGAATAGGCAGGAAGATTCTATTGGCCAGCGTGAGAGCCAACAGCTGACTGACACGAATGTTAACTAGCATCCAATTGGCTCATTCGCTTGCTTAAACTCAACGTTGATTCTGATTCCGCAGAACTGGGATGGGTGTGAAAAAGTATTTGTTGTTAACATTCTTTTTTCATTCGGTTTTTCCAGTTACGAGTCCTTTTTTAAAGCTGATCGTTTTGTGTTCATTTTGTTTAGTTCTTTTTTTCGTAACAGATTTAATGTTTAGTATAGAGCTTAGAAAAAATTCGCAGTGTGAGATAGGCAAGAAGTAAGGCATGTAGCAACATCAGCACTACAAAAGGCACTTCTTTAAAGGCAAGGAAGGGCAAAAATATTTTAAGTTAAGTGATAGCGATTGCTGTATGAGTCGTACGATTTTTGAATCAAGCACGGGCAACGCCGGGCCATGCTACTAGTATATATTAAGACATGTCTTATTGAATAATTTAGAGAATTTGTCTACTTATTTTCAATAGGATGCTCTCATGTTCACGGACAAGCTTCTTAGTATCTTTATCAAAGAAAGAGGTAAAATTACCATGTTGTTACATATTCATCTATTCCGAGTACTTGCGTGGGTGCATATATATATATATATATATATATATATATATATATATATATATATATATATATCCAGTTACAGGGCCCAAAGAGTGTGAGTTCAATACCCGGTTAAGGCAGTGGAGAACTTTCAGAGGGAAATTAGCAACTGATAACTTACATCCATCAAACATGCCACGTGGAACTAGAACAGTCTACCCCAGTGAGCGAAATAAGGGGTTCAGTTCGAAATTCCAACCACCTGAAGAAGGCCGGAGCGTACAACGACCGAAACGCTGTGATAAATATGGCGACAAAGATGAGGACAATAGTCCGAACAATGTAAATAATATATATATATATATATATATATATATAGAAGGTAAATAGAAGAGAGTCCAAAGAAAAGCCAGAACTGTTCATTCTTTGAATCCTCCTACCATACCTCATGCAGTCTCTTCATATCCAACATAAGACTCATTTCACATAGAAGGAAATGTCGATGAGCGCCCCAATACTCAGCAACATGTTCCGCTAAGGATAAGTATATATTGTATATATAGGATAATTAATTCAGAGATAATACTTACATGGAAAAATTAGAAATGTAAGCTCGTGCTGGCAACGTGACATGAAAATCTGCCAACACAGGAGAATTAAAGTTATTGAAGTATTCAGCTGAGACACGGGTTGTGGCATATCTGTACTTGATGTCTGACGTCACGACAAGAGACTTAATTGTAGCACGCTGTAAATAAGTAAAAAACATAAAATTGAATTTATATAAAAATGTTATCATTATGACTTTTTTTTTATGTTAATGCTGATGTTAATTTTAGGTTGTTTTTCATAAAACACTTTGGTTAGTATCATTTCTGACCACCAATAGCTGTATCTACTCCAAGCAATATTGCGTTACTGTGACGTGCCAGAAAATTTTTCAGGTCCGGGCTCATCTTGCACATTTACAACTCTACCATTTGCCCATGCATTGAATACTGCTGCCATATCTGGCTTGGTGTTCCTGCTATTCATCTCGAAGTTCTTGACAAAATCCAAAGAAGGATTAACAGAAGATAACTGACATCCATTAGACATGGCACGTGGAACTAGAACAGTCTACCCCATTGAACGAAATAAAGGCTTCAGTTCGACATTCCAACCACCTGGAGAAGGCCGGAGCGTACAACAGCCGAAACGTTGTAATAAATATGGCGACAAAGATGAGGACAATAGTCTGAATAATGTAAATAGTGTACATAATACCTCATCTCAGAAATATAGACAGATACTGAAAGGCCGAAACGTTGTAATAAATATGGCGACAAAGATGAGGACAATAGTCTGAATAATGTAAATAGTGTACATAATACCTCATCTCAGAAATATAGACAGATACTGAAAGGACGAAACGTTGTAATAAATATGGCGACAAAGATGAGGACAATATTCCGAATAATGTAAATAATGTACATAATACCTCATCTCAGAAATATAGACAGATACTGAAAGGCCGAAACGTTGTAATAAATATGGCGACAAAGATGAGGACAATAGTCCGAATAATGTAAATAGTGTACATAATACCTCATCTCAGAAATATAGACAGATACTGAAAGGCTGAAACGTTGTAATGAATATGGCAACAAAGATGAGGACAATATTCCGAATAATGTAAATAGTGTGCATAATACCTAATCTCATAAATATAGACAGATACTGAAAGGCTCGTTGTAATGAAATAACAAAGATGAGGACAATATTCCGAATAATGAAATACTAATACCTAATCTCATAAATATAGAAAGATACTGAAAGGTTGTAATGAATATGGCAACAAAGATGAGGACAATAGTCCGAATAATGTAAATAGTGTACATAATACCTCATCTCAGAAATATAGACAGATACTGAAAGGCCGAAACGTTGTAATAAATATGGCGACAAAGATGAGGACAATAGTCCGAATAATGTAAATAGTGTACATAATACCTCATCTCATAAATATAGACAGATACCAAAGAAGGATCTCTAATGTAATCGATCCTAACCTGACTTCTCAACTTCAGTCACTTTCTTACCGACGCAACCTAGCTTCCTTCTGTCTTTTCTACAAATATTCTAATGGCAACTGCTCTGATGAGCTTTTTCCCCTGTTGTCTTGACTACATGAATTTAAGCATGCTACTAGATTAGCATCTACATCCCACCCATTTACTGTTAAAATAGCTAAATGCAACCGTCACTTCTACTCCAACAGTTTCTTTTTTCGCACTTCTCGCCTGTGGAACTCCCTTCCATTTACTTGCTTCACTGATAACTAGAATCTTCAAAAAATTAAATGTAATGTCAAACGCCATCTTCTATCTTCTTGAATCCCATTCATCTTTTGTTCTTTCCTCAATACTTCTTCTTTCTTCTCACTTTCAATCCCTGTAACGCCATGCGTATTAATGGCATCCCTGCCTTGCTTAGGGTGAAAGGATTAAAACATTATCTAAATCAGCAGTTGGTAAAATGTCCCGAGAGTTCCTCTTGGGTCTGCAAGCCAAATAGAATAGGTAATTATTTATCAGCCATACCCAGCTGGTCGATCAAAAAAAAGCATTCAATTAAAATGGAGCAAAAACAGCATCATGTTTAGATGTAACAGAGTCTATCTTCTTCAATTACTTCAAAGTACTTTCATTAAAAAACATTTTGAATTAATGTAATTAGTGATATGACAGAAGTAGTCTGTATTTATTCAATCGAATTTAGCCGAGAACATGAAGGGGAAAAACAGGCAGCGTGAGGACCCACTTCAGATCACAATTATTTTGGAGTTTTTGAAAGGGATGTAAAAGAGGATACATTTATGAAGCAATTGTTAAGTTTCATGAAAATTGGTTGAAAGAAATAAAAAAGAAACCAGTAAAAATCGCCATTTTTCGCTATCTACGCGGGTTTTCACTATATGGGTGGACTCACTTATCAAGTTAAACGACTGTTAAACAATCAACTTATTCTTGGCTACAATTGAGTAAAGTTTTTGTTAGATTGCTTAAAAATTGAGGGAGATTTTAGTTTAAAATTTGTGTTGAAATCGATTTTTTGTTTTTCGCTAAACGCAGTGGTGCAGAAATAAAAATTGAGCTCGTCATGATGTAAGTAACTTATATGCCAAGTTTGAACGAAATCGGAAGAAAAAGTTGAATTTATTGATTTTTGATCGGCTTTATCAATTACTGATTTTTTAGAAATTGTCGATTTTTTACGCTAAGGACCTATCTCTTATATTGTACAATGTGTATGCCAAGTTTCGTCAAAATCGGTTGGATGGATCTGTTATAGTGGACTTGTGGCTGGTTCTGACATGGTGGGCTTAGAACAATTTTCATTTCGAACTTGGGGCATTGTTTGACTTGATAAGCTTTTGTATTGGTGAACTTGGAACAGCTTCTGTTATGTCGGGCTTAGAACAATTTCTATCATGTTAGGCTTGGGACATTTTTTTGTTGTTTAGCTTGGAACAACTGTCTTGGGACAGCTTTTTTCATGTTGTGCTTGGGACAGTTTCTGTTATGATTGGCTTGGGGTAATTTCTATCATGTTGTGCTTGGGACAGCCTTTGTCATATTGGGCTTTGGGTAGCTTCTATCATGTTGGGCTTAGGAGATCTTCGATCATACTGAGTTTCTGTCATGTTGCGCTTAGGAAAGGTACTATCATGTTGGTCTTAAGAGAGCTTTTTTCATGTTCATCTTGGAACAGTTTTTCTTATGTTCCCATGTTGTGCTTGGGACAGTTTTTATTATGATTGGCTTAGTACAGCTTATATTATATTGGGCTAGGGACAGTTTCTGTCATGTCAGACTTGGGACAATTCTGTCATGTTGGGCTTGGGACAATTTCTGTTATGTTTGAGTTAGGAACCTTCTGTTATGTTGTGTTTGCAAAATAAAAATCATTACCATTACTCGAGATACATAAAGTATCTATACATTCAGTTAAAAATAAACAATAAAACACATCCTTGATAATGGCTAACAGAATAACCGAAAGCGCTCAGATTTATAAAAGATTTGTAAATTTTTGGCACACTTCATGACCAGTAAAGTAAACACAATGAACACAAGAAAAAATTTTTTTTAAATTCTTAATCGCAGTACCTTGTCAGTCGTCTTTAATGAAGCTTGTATAAAAGAGGGATTGATGCCCAAATACACACACACACACACACACACACATACACACACACACACACACATACATATATATATATATATATATATAATACAATATATTTCAATTAATATTTGTCTATATGAGTACGTGTAAATGTTTTGACGTAAGAGTATTTCTGTAAATAGTCATGATGGGATAATGGTCAAAATGTATTTTCTGTCTACTGGCTTAAAGCAAAAAATGGAAATAGAATGGGAAAAGCAAAAACGACAGCTTATGTCATGTTGCTGGACATGAGGAATAATCATCTGTTAGTTTTTAATGATGAAACAATTCCTGGACAACAAAACTAGATTATTTTTATTATTGCTTCATTTAATAGGCAACAGCATTATCTGAATAATTTTTTGTTTTCAGAGAATAAAGTGATGTCCGTCCGTTGTTATATATGCTGTGTTCTTGGGGCAAGAGGGAAGTCCGTCTGTTGTTATACAAGTTGTGTCTGTAAGACTGGGTTATTCCCTGTTCTTGGAGGCAAGAAGGAAGTCCGTCTGTTATTACATATGCTGTGTCTGTAAGACTGGGTTATCCCTCTCTTGGAGGCAAGTTCTGTTATTACATATGCTGTGTCTGTAAGAGGGAAGTTCTTGGAGGCAAGAAGGAAGTCCATTACATTTTTTACAATGATGTTCATTTTGTACAAGGCCATATGTAGGGAAAAAACGGTCAACTCAAGTCATGAACAGGTTAAGATTATAGTGATCGTGGAAGCAGCGTCTTGGGAATCGGTTCACCAAGTAGTGGTTCTTGGGATTAAGCTGCACTTCGACAAAAGAATACAAAGAGAATGAGGGTTGTTCGCTACAATGGGCGTGGCATGACAGGTCTTAGCTTTGAAGGAACTAAGGAATAATTCCACAACAAATAGATTTAAAAGAATAGAGAGAATTAAAATAACAATGATTTTATATAGCAACAATTTTGCTATTTGAAGAGTGAGTAAAGCTAATTTATGTGTGTTCTGTTTTTTGTATTGAACGTTTATGCGAAAGAAAAGTAGTGTATAATATTTCTGTAATTGTTACAGAAAAGAAAAATGAGAAAAATGAAGTCCAACGTGTTGCGTACTTGAAAATGTATCAAATAAATGACTGACGTGGCTTCCAGTAGCAGTGATTAAGAAAAGGACCCTCCAGCTAATTCTCCTTTCTTTTGTTGAAAGAAGTGCTGGATCTTACGGGTATCCATTCTTTTAGGTGGGCAGTTCTCTGATTGGCTGAAATATGCGAACCGAATTTCTTATTTTTTAAGTTGAAAGAAACGGAAATTCTTCGTCGAGCCTACCTGCGTACGAATGTCATTCGCATTTGATTCTGAAATGTTAACTTCCTGTTTGATTAGGTTTGTGTCACCACACTGTTAATGATCTGTTAGCTTCGGACTCCATCACATGTAGAAGGTACGACATATTTAACGGGACAAGATTTGTTGTAGACGAGACGGAGTCATTTATTATTGTTATATCCTGATGGTTATGAAATGTTAAAGTTATTTTATTTATTAAATTTTTATAATACTTTA